TATATTTATTCCTGTCTGTTCATAAATGTTTATAAATATTTTAATTATTATGTAAATTTTATACTTAATATTGGATTTATCTATATATAATTTCATTTGTAAATGTCTGCATCTACAGGTTCTTGTATTGTCAGCCTTCAGCCGTCACAGTCAACAAGGCTCATCACACAAATACAGTTTAAGAAGATAAAGATTGCATGTTGTTGTTTTTCTTTTAAGTGTATCTCTTAAATTTGTAAATATCTCTTTTTTTCATCTGTTCCACAATAAATATATTATAATGTATACTTTATTGAAGTCTTTCATTTTTATTGATTCATATTTCAGGGGCAAACAACAGTTGTATTTGACAAAACAATCTGTATAGAAATAGTTGTTTTCAGTTCAGTGCAATCTAACAATAGCCCACTTACGCGGCTGGCCCCCGGCCCGGCCCGACCTTGCCTAGCTTCCGAGATCAGACGAGATCGGGCATTCTCAGGTGGTATGGCCGGTAAGCAAGGGGGTATGGAGCAGCGTGCCTCCTGACCTTGCTGCTGCGGGGTCCTTCCTCCCCCAGAATGAGCGTCAGGCTTTACAAAATCCGGGTTTACAGTGTTGCTGACCTGATCATGCTGCAGACTGACGAAAGGAGTTGTGCAGCATTGAGAAAGTTGTGCACCCCCTCACACTGATTAGCTTTTCAGGACCTGTATATTACAGTGAAACTTCTGGGATTCGGCTGTTGACCGGTAGTTTGTTGTCCCCTCTCCTCATACAGGAGGCTTTAACATGTAAATGAGAATGCTGTGAGCTTATACAAATTGCTATTAGGTTGAGGGGTGTGCACAACTTTGCTCAATGCTGCACAACTCTTTTCAGTCAGTCTGCAGCATGATCAGGTCAGCACTTGTAGACCCGGATTTTGAAGGCTGAGGCGCTCATTCTGCGGGAGGAGAGGGGGACCGCAGCAGCCAGGGTCAGGGAGGACTCGCTGCTCCATACCCCCGTGCTTTCGACATACCACCGTTGAGAATGCCCGATCTCGTCTGATTCTCGGAAGTAGGAAGGTCGGGCCGCGGGGGCCCAGCCGCGGTATAGTGGGCATAGTGATGATGGCACTGAATGAAACTCTATTTTCTATACAGATTGTTTTGTCAAATACTATGTTGTTTGCCTGTAATTTGGATCAATAAAAAGAAAGTTCTTCATAATGCTATGACTTTATATATATTTATTGTGAACAGATGAAAAAAGAAGATATTTAAAAATTTATGAATTAACTTAGAAGAAAAACAACAAATGCTATCTTTTTCTTCTTATTAGTTTTTGTGTGATGAGCCTTGTGACTGTGACGGCTGAGAGCTGACTATACAGAAACTGTAGATGCAGACTTTACAACATGAATTTATATAATTAGATATAATCAATATTAAGTATATATTACATAATAATTAAAATTATTATAAACATTTAGGAACCAGACAGGGTATTATTATCGTCATAACTATATTACAATAGCACAATAGAAAGCAGATAGCTCATTTATTTACACGCCACCTTCCCTCTCCCCGGTCTTTAATAAAAGGAGACTGTGGAACATCTGCGTCTCATCCCATGGTCCTTGTACAGGGAGTATACTTTGGCAGGGCTGTAGATGTATTTTCTGACAGGACCAGGGAATTGTGATTGAATGTGAGGACGGGTCCCTGACTCAGCTGCAAGTTTGCAGAACCAGCACTTTCTCCAGTGGAGGAGGAGACTCATCACTCTTCCTTTTTCTTCTCCTGACGTCAATTCACTCTCTGTTTTTCCTGCGTGGCCTCCACTCTCTCTGGAGAAGACTCAGTGTCCATAAAGTTCGGAAAGGCATCGTGGAGTTGTCAAACCCTCTGTGCGATAGGTGTTATAGACCTTGGTGGAGCCAGTAGAAATACCTGGTAGACCCGGTGGTAAAAACTAGTGGGATGAGCTGCCCATCGCCCTCAGATTTGGATTTTGGCGGGCCACAAGACAGGCTATTTTCTTTGTGTGGGGTTTATTTGACTGGAGGCTGTGCTGCTTTTCCAAGATCCGCTGCAACAACTTCTCTATGACAAAATAGGACTCCTGCTGTGAGCTGATGTATTCCCCCACTCGCATTGTCTGAGGCATCACTCCTCTCACTCGCACCAGAGTGAGGGCGTTCTCCCTCATCACTCTCCTCTGGAGCACCGCACTCCCTCATGGACGGGTCGGGTCCTGTTCTTCCTCGCCTCCTCCGAAGGGTCTGCAGCAGGATTCCACGTGGGCCCTTTGTGAAAAATCACAGTTGACGCGGCCAGGAAAGAATGAATAATGTCATCATATATTCCGTACAGGCCACCACAGTCATGTTGCGATTTTATGGACAAAATAGGACACTCGCGTATTTTTGCTTGCGCAGTGACGCGTCTCCCAGTCAAAACACATGGGAAACATGTTTGTGCTTTGAAGACACCCCATGTCCATATTCTTGTCACTGTGTACAATACATGAAGTACATTTCCCACCGCATTTGTCTGTGGGATGACATCCAGTATATGGAGATGACGTAGGGGGCTTTTTTCCCCCGGGGTCACAGCTGTAGGCTTTTCCCCGGTGTCACAGCTGAGATTGAGGACGCGAAACTCATCGAAGCTGTAGAGCATTTTCCAGCGCTTTATTCGGCACAAGATCCAAATTACAAAGATAATCGAAAGAAGGACAAAGCCTGGCGTTCAGTGGCAACGATTGTTGGCGCTGATGGTATGTATAACTACTTTAATCATGTCATCGTCTTTGTGTATGTTTAGCTAATCAATAGCGTAGCTATTTCTAATTTGGTACACCACGAGTAAGTACTAAACAACTTAATACATGATATTTGTGTATTTATATCAGTGTTAGATAGTGCTATGAAGTATACGTATATACGGAATGGTACGAAAAGTTGTGATCAGCTAATTATGCAGCTGGCTCCATCTAGAGGAGTTTCGCGGGCATAGCGCCGCTCACCATAGCCATTTTCCGGTTATATATTCATAGGACTTTTACATATTTAGAGTGCAGTTGAAAATAACTAACGACTCATCAATATAAAAATAACAAGTCAATGTTTAATGTTACATTGACATCAAAACAACACAGGGTCACAAAAAGCAATTACATTAATAAAAACAAACACATTTTAAAATGTACATTTCATTTACAAAGATTCCTATAAACGACAATGGGTTCTGCGAAAAGCTACACTTTAGCTATAGGGCTATCATATTTAGAGTGAAGTTGCAAATAAGTTATTACTAACAACTCAATATAAAAATAACTAATCAATGTTTAATGTTGCATTGACATCAAAACAAACAAGGTCACAACAAGAAATTGTATTATAAAAAAACAAACACTTTTTAAAATTTACATTTCATTTGCAAAGATTTCTATAAACTACAATGGGTTCTGTGAAAAGAAGGTGCACAGCTTGTCCCTTACAGATGAAGCCGCCTCACTGGCTCTTCGCCCTCCCATCCCCTGTTGCACCCTGTGTATATCCAGGCCTCTGTCTCTAGCCTCTGCCAGCCACATCTGATTATCTGCATTGTTGCTCAGGAAGTTGTGTAAAATGCAGCAGGAGATAATCACTGAGTCAACATGTTGTGGTGATAGGACAATTTTTGTGAGAAGCACCCTCCATCTCGCAGCCATTATGCCGAAGGCACACTCCACTACCATCCTCGCCCGAGACAAACGGTAGTTGAAAACCTTCTTTTGAGCGGTCAGGTTGGTGCCACCAAATGGACGCATTACATAGGGCTTTAGGGGGAATGCTGCATCCCCCACGATCACATGTGGGATGCTTCCCAGCTCTTCAGCTCCAGGCAATGGTTTGGGCTGTGGGACATGAAAGGTGTTGTTCTCCAGGCCTCTCTTCAGGTTTGAGGCTGAGAAAACACCTCCATCACTGGCTCGTCCATAGTTTCCCACGTGGATGTATGTGAATTTGTAGTTGGCATCCACTAAGGCCATGAGGACAATAGAAAAATTGTGTTTGTAATTATAATAAAGACTTCCAGAGTTAGGTGGTGCTTTGATGTCAATATGTTTGCCATCTATAGCACCGATGCAGTTTGGGAAATTCCATTTCTCCCAAAAGGCTGCAGCGATGCTTCTCCAGCTGTCCTCAGTGGGCCTTGGAATCTGGCTCCTGAGCATTAGCTTTTCTATGGCTTCCATTGTGTCCTGGACAATCCGAGCCACAGTTGTGACACCAAGTCTGTACTGAAAGGCCAGACTGGTGAAACTTTCACCGGAGGCCAGGAATCTGAAATGAAGAAAAATATATAACATTAAAAGATTATCAATGCATTTACATTTACGTTTTTTTCTCTCATTACAGTTGAAGAATGCAAGCGGAGGTGGAAGGGGCTGAGGGACTCCTATGTAAAATTTAAGAAGTTCCCTCCAAGTGGCTCCGGAGGAGGAAGTGAGCGTGACTGGAGGCACGAAAAGGAAATGGCTTTTTTGAAGCCTTATCTTAAACCAAGGAGGTAAAGTATAAGAATATATCATTACGTTTTTTATGTAGTTTTAGTTTCTATTGCTGGTAGAAGTTTTAAAAAAAAATACTTTTGAGTTTTTTATGAAGATACTTACTGATTAATATTTTGGTTTATGACTGTCACAGCTCCAGGGACTCACATGGAGACACGTCTGCAGACGACAATGTCCAGGAGGGTGCAGATGAGGAAGCATCACTGCCACAATCTCCAAACCCACATGACACAGAAGAACGGCTCATAAGAACCCCCCCATCCCCACCTCACTCCAGCACAAGAACCCCCCCATCCCCATCACGCTCTAGCACACCGATTGCAGACACACCTCATTCCTCACAAGTCACCACCCAATCAACTCCACACAACCCACAAGCCCAACGTTCAAAATCAAGGAGAAGATTAATGGAACAGAGACGCCCAACAACCTCCGTGGAACAACACATTTTGGACATAATAAAGGAGCCGCCATCAGCCCCCCCTCCCCCCCACATACCCACAGAGAACGAGTCCATATTCCACTTCTTCATGAGTGTAGTCCCACGAGTTAGCGCACTATCGCAACCGTCCAGAGCAGCCATACAAATTAGGATCCTTCATTTAATAGGTGAATTGGAAGAAGAAGACCGAAGAGCATATTATCCACAGCACCCACCGCAGCATGCACACCAGCTCCCACCACAGCACCCACACCCGCTCCCACGCCAGCACCCACACCAGCTCCTTCACCAGCAATCACACCAGCACCCACCACAACACTCACACCAGCACCCACCACAGCACTCAGAACTGCACCCGCACCAGCAATCACACCAGCAACAGGTGTACAGCCCTGCAAGTTTCCTTTCCGACCTGAGTGAGCCACACTTGGGCTCTCTGGGCTGAGATCTGAGTATGGGTCCTTTCTCTTTTAAGGATGTGACAGAGGCCAAACAGAGGCCGAGCTTGTTTACTCGTCTCTCGCCTGTCCCCAGAGAGCGTCTCCTCTCTGCTGCGCGCCGCTGCGCGCATGTGACCGCAGCCTTAGAATAACAGCCTATTTATCTTTAAAAACCAGTTGCTCCCATGAGATTTGGGGTAGAACTAAACACCTAAATCTAGTGGACTAGACATATCATGTTGTGAAAATATTTGAAAACTGTGTTGTGTCATACTGTTAAAATAAACATTGCATAACAGACTGTACCTCTCATGTGAGTTCGCCCCAGCACTGCTACTTCATCTGAAGAATCATAAGACTGTCTGATTTTTTTCTTCTTCAATACAGTACTATTGCTGTCGCTTTCGCTCATGTTTGGTGATGATGGTATTTCGGTGTCTGAATAGTAATCCTGTTTTGTTTTTGTATGTTTACGTTGAGCTGCAAGCAAAACATTGAATTAATAAGATGTATTCATGCAAAAGACAATGAACGTTTTTTAAAAATGCTGTATATTACTTACATGTGGTCTTATTATCTCTCATTAATTGTTCCCGAAGAAACTTCCGCTCTTCCTCCAGGTCTAAAATCATTTTCTCTTGCCACTCAATTTTGGCTTGCAGGAATGTAATTTTTGACACTGAAACACACACAAACAGATAAAAATTAAATATTACTAAATATTTTAATATACTAAAAATAATTAGATTTTGTGTGTGTTACAATGTGTTACATTGGTGCACTTTTTTAAGCCTACTAGATGGAAGTCTGTGTTATGAGTATATGCCATGACTTTCACAACCATGTCTAGTGTTGTCATTATTACAATTAAACAAACAAAACCTGATTCCACACTTCCACTCTGGCTGCTGCAACTTGGAGCGCTTTCTTGATCTGTAAAATAAATAATAAAACATAATTAAGTCACCTAAAAATATTTTAAAAAATACTACTACTAACCTTCTGGCACACACTGTGTCAGGTTCAGGGGTGACTCTGGTGATGCTGAGGCCTCCATTGGAACACTCTTTCGCTTCTTTTGAGCTTTAGGCTGTGAACAGTAAATAACGTTACTTGAGTAAATGTAATTGTGGTAATTAATTTCCTTTAGATCATTTGTGTTTGCTTAAAAATTTCACACAAGAAATCTGCTGTCACAGCTTACTTTTATTATGTGGGGGTGTTGTTTAAAAGCACAATCATTGAAGTTAGCTAACAGTGTGACCACTAACTTATCATTGAAGTTAGCCAACAGTGTGACCACTAACTTATCATCGAAGTTAGCTAACAGTGTGACCACTAACTTATCATTGAAGTTAGCTAACAGTGTGACCACTAACTTATCATTGAAGTTAGCCAACAGTGTGACCACGGTAACTTATCATTGAAGTTAGCTAACAGTGTGACTACGGCAACTTATCATCGAAGTTAGCTAACAGTGTGACCACTAACTTATCATCGAAGTTAGCTAACAGTGTGACCACTAACTTATCATTGAAGTTAGCTAACAGTGTGACCACGGTAACTTATCATCGAAGTTAGCTAACTGTGTGACCACTAACTTATCATTGAAGTTAGCCAACAGTGTGACCACTAACTTATCATCGAAGTTAGCTAACAGTGTGACCACTAACTTATCATCGAAGTTAGCTAACAGTGTGACCACTAACTTATCATTGAAGTTAGCCAACAGTGTGACCACGGTAACTTATCATTGAAGTTAGCTAACAGTGTGACTACGGCAACTTATCATCGAAGTTAGCTAACAGTGTGACCACTAACTTATCATTGAAGTTAGCTAACAGTGTGACCACGGTAACTTATCATTGAAGTTAGCTAACAGTGTGACCACGGTAACTTATCATTGAAGTTAGCTAACAGTGTGACCACGGTAACTTATCATTGAAGTTAGCTAACAGTGTGACCACCGTAACTTATCATCGAAGTTAGCTAACAGTGTGACCACTAACTTATCATTGAAGTTAGCTAACAGTGTGACCACTAACTTATCATTGAAGTTAGCTAACAGTGTGACCACGGTAACTTATCATTGAAGTTAGCTAACAGTGTGACCACCGTAACTTATCATCGAAGTTAGCTAACAGTGTGACCACTAACTTATCATTGAAGTTAGCTAACAGTGTGACCACTAACTTATCATTGAAGTTAGCTAACAGTGTGACCACGGTAACTTATCATCAAAGTTAGCTAACAGTGTGACCACGGCAAATTTTCCATTCCGTAAATTCCGTGTATATAATTTTTGCTCGATATAATACAAACTACCACGTGTGCTGTGAAATGGAACCAAAGATTAACTTACCATCTTTGACTTTTTCTTTATAACTTGTAACGCTTTGTTTGTAACAATCCAGTTGAGCCCACTCTAGGTTATTACAACAGAGCAAACTAGCGAGGTTAGTGCGGGTCAGAATCCCGCTCAAGAAGGCGGGTCCTAAACTGATTGGCAGTACAAATTAAGAAGTATGAAAACACAATAGTAATTATTTTTTAAATGGCGATAAAAGATATATGTTTAAGGTAAAAAAAAAATATTTTAATCGTACCGCAACTTTTTCGTATATTTTGTTCTTACTATAAGCTGGACAGTGATTGGCTGATACAGTAAACATGTCTATCAGCGGACTTGGAGGAGCGGAAGCGCCAGAGAGAGAGAGGAGAAAGGCGGGAGGGGCTTCCGCAAATGCTTCCGCTTTTGATGAAAAAAAAACTGCGTCTCCTGGTCTGGTCTGATCAGCGTACCTTTATTCAAGATGCCTAATATTAACTTTTTGAGAAAAATAACTTTTAGGAAGGAGGCTTAAACCACCATACGGAGAAAAGGAGGCTGCATGGTGAGTATGTGTAGCTATACAGTTTTAATTATACTGAGCCGTCATTATACTAACCTCCAGATGGGAAGACCTTACTGCTTTTTGAAAGAAAAATGTTAGCATTAGCTTTAGCGCTAATATGCTGTCACCTATGTTTTAGTTAGGGAAGTGGCCATAGATTGGGCAGAGTAAACACATACAAAGGCTATACAACAGCAAGCGGACATTTGGTGTTCTACACAGGGATCTATAAGGTTGTACTTGACCCAATTTTGAGGTAGAAAAGACTTGCTAATATTCCAGTTTTATTATATAAGTTTTATAAGTTTCAGTACGCATGGCTTAAGCATGACTGCTCAGTTATTATCTTTTTTTTTTATTTGAATTCTATTTTTGTGGCTGTGAGTAATATGTAACATCTTTATTTATTTTTTTATTAGGTTGTGCAGAGACATTTGTCACGGAGGCAAGTCCATCTCTAGGTCCATCAGATGTGGCTCCATATTTCAAGGATCACATGTTAAACTGTCAATATGGATGCATTTCATTTTCAGGTACATTTTACACTGTGTTCTGTCTTTGTCTTTACTTGACTTTACTTGAATCCAATCCACTTAATGTTTGAAGTAGACTTTAAAGTGATACCCATCGAATACACGTGTAGGACTAAAAAGATTAATTTACAAATAATCAAAAAATAAATAAATAAACGTATTTAGTAATGACACAGACTTAAATGTACATGTTTGTCTTATTAGTAAAAGTTGTGTTTTTCTGGTTTTGGTCTGTAGTATTTCATACATTTTAAAGGTCAGAAATATTTGTGTCAATCTGTACTTCACCTGTATAAATTACAGCATTAAATAATTAGGGAATTCCTGCTCTCAAAATCACCAACTTGTACAACACTCCTGTCTCCTCGCCCTGAAAACTATGAAGAAATTTTGATTCATAATTTGTATAATTTATGAATGATGCATCATATTTCTTCACAGTGAACTCAAGTAAGTAAGGAAACTCAAAATATTGAGTTATACAAAATAGCACTCAAAATAATGAGTTTACTTGCAAAAAATGTAGTTTTATAATTTACAATGTCAATGACAAAAAGCATTGGATCAGGACTCGAAATGTGATTGAATCTAAAGTTTTACAATCGATCTGTTATATGCATATATTTTACAGATTTGCCCAAGGCCTTCACCTTCGACAAGTAGACATGCTGCAGGAAGGGATTACTGGGAGCTCTGCAAGTCTGACCAAACTTGCACATGTATTGCGCAAAGTTTGTAAAGCGGCTGTGCAAAGGATGAGAAGAAGAGGAAAACAGATTGTAGGAAGAAGAGGAGAGATTGTTCTCATTGACAAAAGCAAATTCGGACATAAAAGAAAGGTTTGTAAACTGTGCTAATAGACATCTCAGTAATCCCAAGAAAGGTATTTGCAATAAAGGTCTCAATTGTGTGAGAGTTTTGCATCTCAGACAAATAAAACCTTAATTCAGTAGCAATAGTATGAGCATCTGAGTTTGTACAAATTAGCGATGTGGACTATTTTTATTTGCAAGCAAAACTGTAGTTTATACTACCAGGTGTACCTGGTAGTATAAACTACAGTATAACGGCTACGTGTGTAGATTTTTAAATCATATCTTGTCAATCACTGATTTGTCTTTTGTGGATTGCAGTACAACAGAGGTCGAACAAGTAGCCGGAATTCCTGGGCATTTGGCATACTCGGAATTAAAGAACAAAGAAGGAGACCAATTCTGAAGATTGTCCCCCATCGCTCAACTGACCATCTTATTCCTCAAATAAAGAGACATGTTCGTCATGGAAGCTCTATAGTTTCTGATGGATGGAGGGCTTACCGCTGTCTTCGCAATGAAGGCTACTCTCACACAACGGTCAACCATAAAGAGAACTATGTTGATCCACAAACCGGCGCACATACACAGAATATAGAAAGACTTTGGGGAGTCTGCAAATCCACAATCTGGAGACTTAGAGGTAATCGCACAGAAAGCATGCTGAAAGACCATTTAGATGTTATTGAGTGGACATATTGGCGTGGAAATCTTCATGAGAATGGTCCACTTGGAATGCTTTTACATGATATTAGGAAGGCTTTTCCAGTCTAAATAGATCTATTATCATTGGGTTACTGTTGCTTTTCTGGCACATTTTTTTCTTTGCATTTCAACTATCAAGCTCACGTATTGTACGAGTTGAGTTGTTAACAAATAAATGTTGAAAATGATTTATTGAAGTTGATTGTTTTATGTAAGATGGTAAAAATGTTTGAGTGACAATTTAAAAAGCAAAAACAATGTAATTTTTCCTTTATTAGGCATGAAGAGAAGACCACTTTAGAATACAGACCTATTTGGGTTTAATTAGTTATTAACTAATAGTTTGTTAGTTATGATCACAACATCACTTTAGAATGGGGAACATATTCTCAGCTATAACTAATTAATTAAGAGCTAATTGACAAAAATGAGATAGTGTTGTTTGTGTTTTATTTCTAAAGATCTGTCCATGTTCATCAAGAGGTAATAATGGCTAACAACAGTTTGTGTATTATTAACACTTAATAAGACCCATAATCCCAGATGCATATTCACACTATAACAACTATGTAATTGCTGGCTAATGAGCAGTAATAAAGAACTAATAAATGGGAAAGCGCCAGTTAGTAGTGAGTTAGATGTTGAATAAGGCCATGTAGAATAAGGACTAATAAGTGCTTAATAAATACCAATAAAGAGCTAATTAACCATACATTAATACACTAATTAGCACTTAATTAGCTGTTAGTTAGTGGGTGCTAAAATAAAGTGTTACCGTATTATTTTCAAAGACCTTCAGTGATCAAGACTGCACTCTTTATAGTTTACAGTCATGAAATCTGGAGATTGGTTTCAACATTTCCCTTTCAAAGAAGTGGTGGGCTTACTATTTTTCTCAGTGGAAATGAGGCTCCAGGATTTATCGTTTAGAAACAGAGAGATGAAATGAATGGGCTCAGAACTTGTCAGATCGTCTTAACAAGAAACAACAGGCTCTTCAACACTTCTGATCCACTTTTGTGGATTATTTTCTCTCAAGAACTGCCTTCATCCTCATCATCGCTGTTGGTAAAGGCAGTGAACGCGATTAGCGATGTGTTTTTTTCCCGCGTCTCCCGTGTTCCCTGTGGATGTCTACCCCCGCTACTTTCTCCCACATGCCCGGTGTTATGATGCCCCTGTCCCCTCCACCACGGATCCTGCTTGGCGTTCACAGAATGCTTCTACCGCGGCCACACGGAGGACAAGCAGCCGCTGTACAGGGGCTGATTGTGGACTATATGGAGCGCGGTCTCCCCGTCACCAATAATGTCCGTGTCTGCTTCACTGGACACCTGCGTGTCTTCCTCCTCTGAATCTGAGTGAGCCAGTACCAGACCAAGTACTTCTCTGATACTGAAGACCTCGTGAGTAAAATAAAAAACACTCTCTCCCTCTGCTCTGCTCTCGCTCCTCTCAGCTCTACTCAAAAACTTTCAATATAACCACACCCACAAATGCTGCTCATATTACAGGCACACATGTCCACTAACCCCTGGTGAAAAGTATTAACAAGATTCTGCACCACATTTTTACATACAGCCTGTTTAAGTGAGCAATGTTGCTTGTCGCAATATTGCGACTTTGGCGCTTAAAGGGTTAATGATTACAAGATTATTTGTTCTTTAGTAAGTAATGATTTCCAAAACAGTAACAAATAACACTTGTTAATGAGTTGTTAATGTTTAGATGATTATTTTTTCATATAAATAAAACATACGTTAATGTTTGATTAACTAGTAGTCAATGATTTATAAATTATTTAAAAGCAAACAGTATTATCAAGTGTTACCGGTTTTTCTAGTGTTTCATGGTTGATCTTTAACAAAAAGTGTTTTTTACCTAGTGTTGCATACTGGTCACAGAGGGTCTTGAGGGTCCGCACCGCCTCCTTGTTCCTGTCGCACTGCAGAAGTCCATTCCGATGGAAAAGCACACGCACTTCCTCCTTTAAACAGGGATGCTGTGAGCTCCAGCAGGTTCTGTCCAGGACTTCGTTTGGGTCAAAAGTGTGATGCATCAGAACCAACACCACAGGTTTGCCTTTTGCTCCATCTGTGAACACATGATAATATATATTGAGACAGACTACTATAAAATCATGGATCATGTAATGTTTTCTGTGGTTTCAGATTATTATTGTTATTGTGCCGCCTTGGGAAAATGTTTTCACCTGAAGGCATGCACAAAAGTCTCACTTATGAGTAATTTGCGTTCAACTGATTAAACGTTTTTTTCGAAGCAAACCGACATAAAATTGCTCCCTAGAAAATGTTGACATCTTTTTATATTTGAACCTGAACATGCATAGTTAAGAGTAGCTAAACACAATTCAAAACAGTGATCTACATGAGATAAGCCTAAATGAATGAATTGTTTGAATGGTTTTTCACCCCAATTACTTACTACAGTATATTCTTCACCTGGCTGAGTATCATCTATGAGGAGAAAATTACATTACATAGCGGCTGTATCAGGGTTAGTGCCAATGGAGAGGCAGACCGGAGCGGTGGTCACTGTCTTCAAGAAGGGGGACTGGAGGGTGAGGTCCAAATGTTATGGGACCACACTCCTCAGCCGGTCAGGTATACTCCAAGGTACTGGAGAGGAGACTCTGACTGATCGTCGAATCTCGGATTCAGGAGGAACAGTGTGGTTTTTGTCCCAGACACTGGACTCAAGGCATCATGGGATTTTGTCCAACCTGTCCACATGTGCTTTGTGGATTTGTAGACAAGACATTTAACTGTGTTCTTTGGGGGGTTGTCCGGGGAGTAGGGGTCCTCTGCTGAGGGCTGTACGGTCTCTGTATGGCCGGAGTCAGATCTGCGTTCGCATCGCCGGCAGAAAGTCAAATCTGGACTTCCGGTGGCATGGCGGACTAGAGAAGACACGCCGAGAGAGCCCAGAGCAGGATTTTGATATTTATTCAATACAACAGCTACAAATCACAGTAAACTGATTCAAAAGTAAGCAGCAAGCGTTGCTGAAAGAAGAATATCAACAAAAATGTCAGGCAAGCCGAAGCAACCACCGAGAGCAAAGGGTGACACGAACAAACAAGCTAATGCTAACGAACAAGAACTAGCCGCCGCCGCTGAGCTCTCTGTGCCTATGTCCATGCTACAGGCTGAACTGGAGAGGAACCGATCAGCCATTCTCAAGGAAATCAATGCTTCGCTTTTCCCCCTCAATGCCACTCTGGATGATGTTAGCAAAAAGCTAGACGCTTACGAGCCACGTCTGACTGACATGGAAGCGGGCCTGTCTGACCACAGCGACAGGCTTGATCACCTCGAAAGGCGTGTGGGCATTTTGGAGAAGGAAAAGAGCGAACTACAGGCAAAGACAGAGGACCTCGAAAACCGCTCGCGTCGAAATAATTTACGCATTATTGGCTTACCAGAGAATTCCGAAGGTCGCAATGCCACAGCTTTCATGTCCCAGTTCTTTGTGGAGGTCCTACAAGACCCGTCATTTACCAGACCGCCTGAGCTGGACAGGGCGCACAGGGCTTTGAGAGCAAAACCTGCAGACAACGAAAAGCCAAGGCCAATGCTTGTCCGCTTCCTGCGCTTCCAGGAGAAGGAGCGGGTTCTTGCCATTGCACGGAAAAAGGGGCAGCTGCTTTACAACGGTGACAAGATTTTTATCTTCCCAGATCTCAGCGCTGAGCTTACCAAGAAGCGGGCAGCTTTCAATCCAGTCAAGTCCAAGCTTTACCAAAGGGGAGTCAAGTTTTTTCTCCGCTATCCTGCTGTCCTCTGTGTTACGTACGAGCAAATGGATTACAAATTTGAATCTGTAGCTGCTGCCGAAGATTTCTACAAGCAACATCTATCCGGGGATGCTTAAACATAAGGTCTGCTGGGATACCCTCAGGTACTTGGGAACTCACCCTGTATAGTGTCCATTCATGCAGGATGTTTAGTGCTCCCATTTCGTGCATAAACAGATCTGCTACGTCCAGGTGCCCCACCGTCATTGTTTTTCTGCCTTTTTTTTTTTTTTTTTTTTTTAAGATAACCTTTTAATGCTAACCCTGCGTTGTTGAAGGCTACCGCTAGAGGGCGCCGAGGGAGCATGGATGAGTATTTGAGACTGTCGGATGAAAACAAATTGATATATAGGTACTCTTTTTTTTCTGTTTTCTAGTTTTTTCTCCTGTATTTTAAAGTTACCTAATATTTAGAGTGTGGGGTGGGTTGCCCGGTGACTGGGGGAGTGGTCAGCAGAGTGGGTTCTTTGTCAAGTTGATTTGCCTGAGCTAACATGACTATTGCTGCTATTATTTAACAATTGTAGCTGGAGTTTTATTTTTATTATTATTTACTTGATTTGCTCTGGGGACTCTTTGAGTAGAGATTAGAATGTTTAGGGTGGCCTCCCGGGAGGCCCTTGGAGCGATTATTACCCTGTTCACTCCGTTTGGGGGGGTGGAAGTAAGGGGAGGGCTGAGTGCATCTTGTTTTATTTTGTTCTCCAACACTGTTGTCACACTGTTTTGTTTTGTTCTATTTTACCTGTACTTCACTTACATGGGAATCCAAACAGATTTTTGTATTCTTATTCATATTATCTATTTGTCCCTCAATTAATAGCTTATGGCAAGTAACAGTACAATTAAGTGCAATGGACGCATTGTCCGAATATTATCTTGGAATGTAGGGGGCATTAATGGTGCCACTAAAAGGACCAGAGTTCTCTCTCATATTAACGATCTAAAAGGAGATTTGATATTTCTCCAAGAAACACACTTGCGTAATATAGATCAGAAACGACTAAACCAGTCTTGGATCAGTCATATCTTTCATTCTCGATTTAACAATAAAACAAGAGGAGCAGCTATATTGATCAAGAAAAATGTTCCTTTTAATATGTCAGAGACTGTGATTGACAATAATGGCAGATATGTGATTGTAGTGGGTACTCTTTGCCAACAACCAGTTGTACTTGTGAGTGTGTATGCACCTAATTATGATGACGAAGACTTTATAAAAAGACTAGTTTCTTCAATACCAAAATTACATTCTCACCATTTGATATTGGGAGGAGATATGAATACTGTTCTAAACCCAACTCTAGATAAATCCAGCCCTAAGGATCCCACGCCACCAAAGATGGCACAGGCTCTTTTGCAACTCATGTCCCAGTATGGTCTTGTCGATATATGGCGGCACCTACATCCAGTTGACAAACAGTTCTCGTTCTATTCCCATGTACACAAAACACACTCGCGTATTGATAACTTTGTAATCGATAAAGCTCTACTGCCCTTAGATACAACAACTGAATACCAGGCAAGGGTAATCTCGGATCATTCGCCTTTAACACTAGAATTACAATTTATCTCTAGCCCTAGAGACTTTCGTTCCTGGAGGCTCGACCCTGTACTCTTATCAGATGACAATTTTATTGCACATATAAATCAGACTATAGACACTTACCTCGAGACTAATCAGGTTAACAATACAAATTCAAGTTTACTCTGGGAGGCTTTAAAGGCTGTCCTTAGGGGCGAGATCATCTCATACTCTGCCCATTCAAGGAGAACCATTAATAGGCGTAAGCAAGAGTTGATGCAATTAATTTCTGACATAGATAACCAAAATGCTTTATCACCAACTAACGAACTGAACAAACAGAAACTTGAAGCACAAACAGAGTTTGATTTGATCTCGACTTCTGAGGCAGAGAAAATGTTACATGCAGCCCGAGGTATGATATATGAACATGGGGAAAAAGCTGGTCGTTTGCTGGCAAATTATCTGAAAGGCAGAAGAGCTGCTCAGATGATTGTTCAAATTAGAAATGCAGCTAACCAAATAACGTTGGATCCCCATGAAATAAATAATACGTTCATGAATTTTTACTCTCGCCTATATAAATCAGACTGTCTAGCTAACGACTCATCAATGTTACGCTTTTTTGACAATATAGACATGACCAAGCTGACTGTTGAGGAGAGTGCTTCTTTAGACTCCCCAATTACACTAAACGAGATTTGCAGGGCCATCAAATCAATGAACAGCGGAAAGTCACCAGGGCCCGACGGCTTTTTGGTTGAATTTTATAAACAATTCTCCACAAAATTAGCCCTTTTGTTGCTTAATATGTATAACGACTCTTTTCGGCAGGGAATTCTACCGCCCTCTCTCAGACAGGCCACCATTTCATTAATACACAAACTGCTCATCTTACAGACCCATTTCACTTTTAAATGTTGATGTAAAAATATTAGCAAAAATCTTCGCTTGCCGACTAGAATTAGTTATACACAATATAATCTCAGAAGACCAAACAGGTTTCATAAGGAACCGACACTCTTTTACTAATGTTCGCCGTCTTCTCAATATTGCATTTTCTCCATCCCCATTACAAATTGCAGAGGCGGTGGTTTCTTTGGATGCCGAAAAGGCCTTTGATCGTGTGGAGTGGCCTTACCTATTTTTAACGCTGAAAAAATTTGGTTTCAGCGACCACTTCACCTCTTGGATTCGGCTGCTCTACACTTCACCACAGGCCTGTGTCTGCACTAACTCTTTGAGATCCTCTTTTTTTCCTCTAACACGAGGAACACGGCAGGGTTGTCCATTGTCCCCCCTCCTTTTCGCCTTGGCAATTGAACCACTCGCTGTAACGCTGAAGGGAGACTGTTCTGTTCAAGGCATAAGGAGGGGTGGTGTTGAACACAAGGTCTCGTTATATGCGGACGACCTTTTACTATATATTTCTGACCCGGTCAATGCTATACCTCATGTTTTGGATACACTTAAAAGTTTTGGAAGCTTCTCAGGATATAAACTTAACATAGAAAAAAGTGACTTTTTTCCCATCAATCAATCAGCGAAAAATATTTCTCCTTCTAGCATACCATTTACCTTTTCCACAACCAAATTTAAGTACCTGGGCATTAACATTTCACAAACCATGAAGAGTCTTTTTGATGACAACTTCGCTGTTCTCCTTAGCAAAGTAAAGGAGGACCTTTTAAAGTGGGACAAACTCCAACTTACTTTGGCTGGAAGCATACAAAGCGTAAAGATGAACATTGTCCCCCGTTTCCTATATTTGTTTCAGTGCCTCCCTTTATATCTACCCAAATCATTTTTTACCAATATCAATGGCCTAATTTCGTCATACATATGGAGCAACAAACCTCCTAGGCTTCAAAAATCATTATTACAAAGGGCTAGAGTGGATGGTGGTCTAGGACTACCTGACTTGCAACATTATTACTGGGCATGCAATATGCATAAAATTTTATATTGGGCTTTTTATCCTGAAACAGTATGGTGTCAGTTAGAGCGTGAATCCTGTCAACATTCTTTGGTAGCTCTATTATGTTATCCTGGAAAATTAAAACTCAAACAGTATACAGACAACCCAATTGTATCAGTTACATTAAAAATGTGGCAGCAAATCAAACACAATTGTAATTGGGAAACACTGCCTCTCAGTACTCCTGTTCGGAACATCTTATTTAAACCTGCTCAGATGGACACTCGATTTTCTGTCTGGGTAAGGCAAGGTTTACGAACAATTGGAGATTTTTACACAGATGGAACTTTTTCCAGTTTTGAAGTTCTTCGTTCTAAATTTAACCTTCAGGCAGCTGACCTATTCAGATATTTTCAAATCCGTAATTTCCTCAAATCTAATACCCCTTCATTCCCGGTTTTGCCTCCCCAATCTGGAATTGATCTTCTCCGTCCTCTTGTTAAAAAATCCAAACGTCATATCTCCTTTTTATACAACTTACTTACCCCAGACTCACCACCTGCCTTGGCCAAGATTAAGACCGACTGGGAGACAGAACTAGGTTTTTCCTTGAATGAAGAGTGGTGGTTTGCTGCGCTCGGGGAAATAAAGTCCTGCTCATCTTGTGTAAGATTACAAGTGATACAGTTCAAAGTGGCCCATAGGGCGCACTATAGCAAATCCAGACTAGCAAAGATATACCCAAGCGCTTCAGACATATGTGATAGATGCTCTCAAACTCCCTGTAATCATACACATATGTTTTGGTCTTGTCCTGGGCTACAAAACTACTGGGAATCATATTTTAGAACAATTTCAGACATATTGGGACATGACCTTGAACCGTGCCCTCTCATTGCAATATTTGGTATACCTAAACCAGGGATAAAATTGTCATCAAAGCAAAAAAATATTGTCTCATTTACTTCACTCATAGCCCGACGCAAAATATTACTTTTGTGGAAAAACCCGGTTCCGCCCTCTGCGACATCCTGGTTACGGGACACGATGTCTTTCTTAAAGTTAGAAAAAATCAAATTCTCGTTGAGGGGCAGTACAGAAAATTTTTATAAAAACTGGAACCCCGTGCTTCAATATTTTAAGGAAATTACTTCTTTTTCTGTCGACTGAAAAGCAAACTTGCACTTTGACATTGGATTCCCTTTTTATTTTTATTTTTATTTATTCACCTTTTCTTTTTGTGAAGTATTGATACGTACAAAATTGTAAGAGCAACACAATTGCGCTCAGCTTGGGGATTGTGGGGGGTGGGTTGGTGGGTGTTTCTGTCATCCAACTGTTCAGGAATGACATTTTGTAAAATGTGAAATATAAAAATGTTCAATAAATTGTGTTGAAAAAAAAAAAGAAAGTCAAATCTGTTGCAAGTGCATGTTGGCCTCAGCCAAGGCTGCCCTTTGTCACCAGTTCTGTGCACTTTTTTCATGAACAGAATTTCTAGGCACAGCCAGGGGCAATAGGGCGTCCGGTTTGGGGACCAAAGCAGAAGAAGATAAATGGAGAGGCTGAGCAAGAGGGACGCAAGGGATCCTTCAAATTTTATCCCAAATTTAATCAAGCTACAAATTAATTCACTGGATGCTCTTTATCAATTTTAGATAGTACACACAAGGGTTACCTGGAGCCGGTAGGGGGGAATTGATGGTGAAATTCATAGGAAATGTAAAATGGGTAATAGATGATGAAAGAGGGAAACATGCAATGGTGATTTTCTGATTTCAAACATTGTATTCAAAGTTTAAATGCACATGTCTGAATGATTGAGCCACTGTCTTTTGTGTTCATGTAGTTACTTTGTCTCAGAAGGAAATCCTCGAAACTTGATTTGTGTCAGTGTGAAAAGCAAACCTGGAATCTTTCTGACGGCTGCATCAAGGTCAGATGCGATTCGTGTCAGGATTGGACAAAACAGCAGAATGACATCGCTCCGGTGTGGATCATGTGTAGGTGTGATGCCCTGAGCGGTCAGCTGGTCCAAGATCTGCCGGTCAGCTCCATATGACCGAGCTGAGATGATGGAGAACACCTTCACTAGCTTCTGCCCTGAAGATGGATGATATAACACATTATTAACACAATAATTATGAATCATGAACCTTGGCTCTTTGCATCACAGGCTCAACTCACCTCGGGCTTTGTTGGACTGAAACTGCAAGAGTAATGTAATTAATACATTACTAATTATTACTACTGAAAATATACTTCAGGAATTCCAGTACTTATATTTACTTGTGAAGAGCTGCTTTTAATCCCTGGATTGGGGGGAGGATAATTAATAACATATCGTAACAAAGTACAGCCGCAAGAGACGATCAGCGGTCCTTGTTTACACCAACCCATGGATTGATAGATACTTTATTGATCCCCGTAGAATTTCTTGTGTCCAGTAGCAGCAGAAACACATCCATCCATACAAACAAAACAAATAAATAGATACATCTTCTATCTATTTATTTTTCTATTCACTATAATCTATTTATCACAGCAGCAGAGGCGGTGTAGCCGCTTGGTTTGGATAATTTTCTCTACTCTAGTCCAGAGTGAAATGCTGACTGCTTTGTTAGCATTTTTTGAGTGGATCTCTGCTTGATCTGCTTGGTTCGGTCCGTGAACCATGGACTTGTTTCCGGCGCATTCAAAAGTGTGTTAACGTACAGCCAGTTTAGCCTTCATATATACATCTTATATAAGGCAGTTTATTTTTTGCTGCTCCAAACAGATTTGTTTTTAGTTTTTTTGTCAAATATCGCTCTTTGAATCTTAAATTAGCGATATGTAAGATTGGCATGTCAAGTCATCATTAAATGGCCCTAATATGTCACACGGCATTAATAAATCATGGTCTCTTCGAATACTTCTTTAATGAGAAAACAAGGAGAAATTAAAGCCGCAAGCGGCGTCAAACGGCCCTCGACGCCCCGCGCAACTCCCCGCACCGCACGACTGTCCGCACCGCGCAACTCCCCGCTCCGCGCCACACCACCTCACACCACGCCGCCCTACGCTGCCTCGCACCACACTGCCGCACACCGCGCCGCCTCATACAACACCGCCTCACACGCCACCACTAACCACGCCACCATGCGCTGTGTCCCCTATGTAAAAGTTTTACTCAGCCTGTAGGGGGCGCTAATGGGACAATGTAATTATTCACACTTTCAGGCGACCTAGGCCCATGAGTAGAACAACTGAGTCAAGTTAAGTGCAAATCACACTTAGTAAATGCCATTCTCACCCATGTAAAACTTGACTCAGTCTGTAGGGGGCGCTATTGCTGCAATTTCATGTTTTACACTTTCAGTTTACCCAAACCCAAAAGTAGAACAACCGATTCAAATTTGGTGCAAATCGGACTTGGTTTGTGCAAAAGGAGCCATGTTTCTATCTTCAAAATGGAGAAAAAATGTTACATTTTGCCGCTCCGCTGCTCGAACAACGTTTCACTGATCAAAATTCCCTGAAGTCATTTTGATGGTACAGTTGTTGACATGATGTGGAGCGATTTTGAGGCGACTTGGTGAAACGGCCGAGGCTGGTTTGATGTTTGTGCGAGGTGTACATTTGCCATAGACAATGAATGGGGAGGGTTTGTCGTCGCCACGGCAATAGGGTAAAAAATAAGCCTTCGGTCCTTTTGACTTTTTGAATCAAGAGGGCACAACAGATTTATGTGCAAAATTTCAAACATTTTGAAAAAACAAAATTTGAAAATGCCCATATAAAACTTTGAAATAGTCTGTAGGGGGCGTTAATGAGCCAAGTTCAATTATTTCACTTTCAAATGACCTAGAGCCTAGAGTTGAACCATGGATTCAAGTTTTGTGCAAATCGGAATTTGTATGTGTAAACTGGAGCAAATAGAATGTTGTGAAAAACGGCCAATAAACACTCACATTTTGCCGCTCCGCTGCTCAAACAACGTTTCACTGATCAAAAATCCCTGAGGTCATTTTGATGGTACATGTGTTTAGACAATGTGGAGTGATATGGAGGCCAATCGTTAAAACGGCCGAGGAGGAGTCGCTTTCCAACCGACATGTATGAAAATGATTGCGGATAATTTTTCCATTTTGCAGTGAAATTTATGGGCCTCCTGTTTGTCAGAGGGCGGAGCCATGATAACATTTCGGTCGTATCTTGACTTGAGGAACATGTGTACCGAATTTCATGGCTCTACGACAAACTTGACCTCTGAAACTCCCATTGGCTGTTGTAGGTGGCGCTGTTCTGGCATTTTTTGAGTCCCATAAAAATAAACACCCAAATATCCAATTTTTCACCAGGTCTAATGTTTGGGCAAAAATTTACAACTTTTCATGCATGTTCAGGGGGTGAAATTAAGGCTCAAAGTGCAGAATTTGACATCTCTCGAGCAAAAATAATAGGCCCTTTCCCCGTTCGGGGCTCGGGCCTAATAAAAAAAGGATTTCTATTGGAGATGCGTTTGCTTTTGAGACAATTGAAGGCAGAGAAGAACTTTCCGTCTGATGCAAAACTTGCTCATTGGCAAGTAAGTAAGGCATCGACGTTTTCATTACTTTAATTAAATATTTTTTTCTCAACGTGCCGTTGTCATTAAAGGCTTTTTAAAAAACATACTGTAGATTAACAGCAGTAATATACCCATGTTCTGCTGCAGTCGAATAATAGAGAGCCATTCTATGTTATGTCCAAAGATGAAAGGATGTGAATATGAAACCACAATATCAACAATTGCTATTCAGAAGCTGCAATGATTACATTTTCCTGCTAGATGTCAGCGCTACAAGCTAATCTGAGCTAGTTCAGAGGCTTCGAAACATTTGAAACAGGACAGCCACTATGTGTTACGAGATTGATCTGTCATCACTACTGTCCAGCATTGGATGTGCATCAACAGCTACATGCATAGACCATTTCTTAGCCCACTAGCTAATACATTTTAGCAGGGTAATGCCAACAATCTATCCCAACTAAAATGTTGCTGAGTAACTTTACAATTATATTTGGGTAAGCGATATTTGTAAAATGTGGCATATAGATATATTCATATTCAGAGATGCTCTTCTGGATACCTTGACTGTAACAAGTGGTTGAGTTACTGTTGCCTTTCTATCAGCTCGAACCAGTCTGGCCATTCACCTCTGACCTCGGGCCTCAACAAGGCATTTTTTGCCCGCAGAACTGCAGCTCACTGGATATTTTTTCTTTTTCGGACCATCCATCCATCCATCCATTTTCTTCCGCTTTATCCGTTGCCGGGTCGCGGGGGCAGCAGTCTAAGCAGAGACGCCCAGACTTCCCTATCCACACACTTTTTCGGACCATTCTCTGTAAACCCTAGAGATTTGTGTGTGAAAATCTCAGTAGATCATCAGTCTTGGAAATACTCAAACCTGTCTGATGATTTTGACCATGTCTACATACCTAAATGCATTGGTATTCTGTCATGTTGGCTGATTAGGAATTAATATAATAATAAAGCGGCCAGTGAGTGTATATATTGTCTTCTTGATTATTACTTAGATATAAAGTAACAGTTACCTATTAACTACAGTTCCATGAGTGAGTGCAATGTACAGTTGGTATCAGTCGTTACTAATACAATAATAGATCAAGCTATAAATGTATATAATATGTACTTGAATTTGTTACTAATGATACTTCAATCATGTAATAACTAGGGCCGGGACTTAAACGCGTTAATTACGATTAATTAACACCACAAAATTAGTGCGTTAAAAAAAATGGACGCATTTTAATCGCCTGTGTTTTTTCCACCGCGGAACCTTCCTCACTGGAGGATGACTTTCAGACGGACCGATTATACTGGAGCGCCAACTGAGCTCCGTGATTTTTCTTGTTCAAAAGTACATCATAACAAGTAGGGCCGGGCAATATAAACGGTATAAGCGATATCAATTTGGCCAACGGTAGAGATCTTTGTTATACCGGCATAATAGGTCATTATGTAATCAAACTGCTGGGTTCCACGAGACGAAAGTGCTCCGAAGGGACAGGACATTTCCCCGCTAAGAACAATGTAAACATTCACTGATTCCGAGTTAAAATGCTTCTTTTTCTGTGGCGTGTACAGTTGTGGCAACTGCTCATTTCAAGTGGGAAACTTATGAAGTCTCTACTTTGCTAAAAAATATTTCTCTAACGGGTGTCCATTTTTAGCAGTCTCTTTTAGGAAAATGCCTAAAAAGGAACGGGAGAAATGCGCTAGCATTAGCATTAGCTTGCGTAGCATCTGCGACCACAGAGATAACTGACAGTCCGCAGTCTTTACTTCGCTTTCTTTCATAGGTACAATGCAGTATTTTTGTGTGGTATACGGTTGTAGTAACCAAGGCAACAGAAAGAAAGAACTGTTAAATACATTTTCTAATTGCAGCCCCCGCTGTTAGCTTACTGCTGTTAGCTTAACGTAGCATTAAGCTAACAGCAGTTAGCTCGCCCTGGAGTTCCGTACTTTTGGTTATTTATAGCTCAACAAATCACCGAAATGACAATAAAGGGTCAGATTTCTTGCTTCAAATGCCTCTAAAGTAACATTTGTGCCATATTTATTGTGTTATTGATCAGAACTATCATCTCAGACGTGTTTCTGTTGATTCCAGAGTGACTCCATTGTCGTCACTATAACAGCCTTAATCTTTCTCATTGTTGAAAAAAATTTACTCATTCAAACTCTACAAAGCGTACGCTGCATTAAAATAGTTTTCACTCATAATAAGAGTGATACTAAGCCGCGAAAAGTTCCTATGTCTGCGTTTTCCAGCATTGCCCATTCTATTTAATAGGAGAAAAATACTTCCTGTCCTACGGACACATGCCCCGCCCCCTTTTGGTTACGTGGTTGAAACCCAGCAATGCTGCTTGGAAGTTTAAGTTTTATAATGTTCTGTATAATTGCAGTTTTGCCCAATACATTTAAATAAGTAACAATCTTGACTATTTCATTCAAGAAGCTGCTAGACCTATATTAAAATTCACACCAAATTATATCGCAATATGAATTTCAGGCCATATCGCCCACCCCTAATAACAAGCATAGACCAACTCTAGCGGTGTCTAAATCTGAGTGAATTAGATCCATGGTTAGAGACGGGAAAGAGCGCTGTGTATGGAGCTATGGTGTGTGAGGAGGAGCAGCAGCAAGCGACTCCTCAGAGAAGGAGGAGGAGCAGCAGCAAGCGACTCCTCAGAGAAGGAGGAGGAGCAGCAGCAAGAGACTCCTCAGAGAAGGAGGAGGAGGAGCAGCAAGCGACTCCTCAGAGAAGGAGGAGGAGCAGCAAGCGACTCCTCAGAGGAGGAGGAGGAGCAGCAAGCGACTCCTCAGAGAAGGAGGAGGAGGAGCAGCAAGCGACTCCTCAGAGAAGGAGGAGGAGGAGCAGCAAGCGACTCCTCAGAGAAGGAGGAGGAGGAGCAGCAAGCGACTCCTCAGAGGAGGAGGAGGAGGAGCAGCAAGCGACTCCTCAGAGAAGGAGGAGGAGCAGCAAGCGACTCCTCAGAGAAGGAGGAGGAGGAGCAAGCAACTCCTCAGAGAAGGAGGAGGAGGAGCAGCAAGCGACTCCTCAGAGAAGGAGGAGGAGGAGCAGCAAGCGACTCCTCAGAGAAGGAGGAGGAGGAGGAGCAAGCAACTCCTCAGAGAAGGAGGAGGAGGAGCAGCAAGCAACCCCTCAGAGGAGGAGGAGGAGCAGCAGCAAGCGACTCCTCAGAGAAGGAGGAGGAGGAGGAGGAGCAGCAGTGACACAGGTGTGTGAGCTGCTATTGTTGATGTTGTAGTTAGAATGCACAAACGTATTATAAGCTTTACTTCACTTTGAGTGCAGTGGACTTTGGTTATACAAAAGATGTTGTGGACAGAGTGTGTGGAGGCGATGACAGAAATCGAAGAACATGTGTTGTTTAAGCTTATGAATTCAGTCATTATTCAATGGTAAACTAAAAATCCATGTGAAAAAAATTACTTCTCACTGTTCTCAGGACAAATATTTACATGTGATTAAAATGCGATTGATCGCGATTAATTAATCACAAAGCCTTTAATTAATGAGATTAATTTTTTAAATCGAGTCCCAGCCCTAGTAATACATTAATTTACTTTCTAAATTAAACCCAAGAATCTGTAATAACAACATAAAAACTGCTGACTGGAATAAATGTACTTACATGTATTAGTTCATAATTTTCAGAAATACATGATTACATGTAATTTAGTGAGAAAGTTAAAAAGAGCTTTCATAACAGCAGTACTCACCCATCTTAGAAACCTCAGAGGCTTCGACTCTGTCTTTTATAATGAAGGAAGTGCAGAATGTGCGACAGAGAATGCAGTCTGTGCTTTGCATTATCCACAAAACACACCCACAGGAGAAAAGAGGAGGAGCCATGGAAACCAACTCTGCTGATATGGCAATTATTTAATGACATGTGTAAATGGTGAATAACCCACTGTTCAACTCACCACTGAATCACCCATCACCACTGAAGCAGAGTAAAGTTAACGTTGTTTTTCCAATAGGAGAAATGCAGGTAATTAACTCAGCTTTAAATTGGAGCTAACCAAATTATTTATACTTGCACATGTTTTGAATCGGACACTATAGTTATAAGGATACAATTAAAGAAGAAACAATGTTCCTTGTGTTCCTTCCTGTGTTTTTGGCCATTAAAAACTATATTGATACCTTTTAACTTTGTAATTCCATGTCTTATAATGTGAAGTAATAACTGAAATCTACCAACTGCACAGTCATGCATTTGTAAAGAAAGTCAGTTCACATGAGAAACTAGCAACACTCATTTATGTTGGGTTAGAAAACTGCTCTGAGATTGATGTCATAGTGGGTAGAAACACAAGTAAAACACGCAGAGTATTTGTCATATTAACAAACTGTAACACTTTCCACAGGGCGTGGATACAAATATAATCTTGTTTATATGGGTGGCACGGTGTGCTTCACAGCCAGGTCCTAGGTGAGATTCCACTGCACGCTCCCCCTTTTTTTTTTCTCTCCTACCACTAAAACCACATACAATAGTTAAAATGTTCCAGCTCTGGTCACTGGACAGTGTCGATCATTCACCATTGAAACAGCTGAACCTAAAATATCATTTAGGTTAAACTTTCCGATATGTGTGAGTCAGATACCATAATTAGAACATTGTGTAAAACTTCTGATTTATGTTATTATGGCTTACAGTAAAAAAATAAAATAATTACAGCTAAAAGTGCCACCCTCTCATCAGTTCACTGATCCAAAACACCAGCATGTCAAATAGATCATTGTCACCACCATCTCTCATTTGGATGACATTCGGTACAGTGATAGAGCAGTTAAGGATTTACCAGATTTCAGTCCTCTGTTCCAAGATATTATCTAAAATATAGATGTTAGATATAAAACAGTAATAAAACAGATGTTTTTCAAAGCCAAATAAAATGACCCAATTTTTTGACTCCAAGTAACTTTTTTGTTTTGCTCTGTATTTTATTACATTATGAAGGACAATACAAATGTGAATGCCATCCACAGACAACATTTCAGGTCAATCCGTCCAGAGGTTTTAGTCCTGCTAACAGACAAACACACACACACGTACGTATTGCACTCCTGGAATTAGGAGAAGAAACACAAGAGCGAAATGTGTGTAAATACTAACCAATTTCCCAGTGCATAACCATTCGCTCAATCATTGGTCAGGCTTATGTAGCGCATCTAAAGATCAGTTGTACACAAAATAGAACAAGGGCAGGCGAGAGATGGACCTGTTGGAGGCACCCCTTTTAACAAGTTAATAAATCTTGTCCTTTCAACGCACCACCCAGCATTGGTGTGTTCACACCGCACTCTGCGTCGGCTTTGTGGGCTTCAGGTTTGCCTTTATAATGAATGGTGGCACACGTCAAGTGGTCGGGCGTCATTTGGTGCTTGTCAAAAGCGTTGCTTTTGGAGTTTTGGAGCGTACGTTTTCGGTCCCTCGATGCCAAAGTTGAGAAAGGCTGAGCTTTTCGAGCTTGACGCAGGCCGCCAACTAATCGAGAGACAAGGTGGAGAACCAGCAGCAGCATCAGGGCTTTCAGATGAAGAGAAGTCATGTAGCTGCCTGCATTTCTATTTTGTTGTCATTATTGTTATTATTAGCAATATAATTTATACGAGTAGTAACGTTCTAAATAAGTAACAAAATCAATGTACACATACTGTGGAGTAAAAGTAATTTATTTTATATAAGAACAAGCTGACACTGAGTTTGGCTCAGACACAGAGCAGACTGCTGGACAGTAGACTGATAGACAGGCGCTCGATTCCAATGGAAGAGCGCCTGTCAATCAGTCAGCTGTCCAGCAGTCTACTGTAGTTGGTGTCCTGGTGCCTTTAATTGGTGTCCCGACAGGCAATGCTTGTACATAAACAGGCACATGCACGTTTCTGATGTGCATGGGCAAAGTCATTGAGTATTTTGTCTGCAACTCCATCCATCCATCCATTATCTACCCCTTAATCCATTTCTGGGTCAGGGGGGTGGCAATCAGAGATGCCACACAAGTCACATAGCACCAGCCCCTCACTGATCCTCTGCAGGTGGTGAGTCCACAGGAGGAGGGCTGCTCTGCAAGTGTGAGCATAGCCTTGATCTTTCAGCGGGGGCCTCATGTTAGTTCGCTAACACACCTACTAAAAAAAAAATTGTCTGCAACTGTCTTTCCTAATTTTGACGATGTGACAGGCTTGTGTATACCCACTAAAATTATCCATTAAAACCCATTTATACTCCTCCAGAACATGTATCAACAGGACAGAAATCTACAGACACAAGTTCAAACGGTTGCGTTTTGATGATACCAGTCAATGGGAAACTTGTTTGGTGACTTGTTTTTTTAGGTGAATGTCTTTTTACATGTCGGGCCAGAAAAATGTACTTGGCTGCCAGCACAAGGAAACTAATCCTTTCCTTGTGCTGGCAGCACAACTTGCTTGTGTTGAACAACTTGTTTCCTTGTGCTGACAGCACAACTTGGGCTGTCTTTGTCCTGTGTTAACCCTCTAGGCACAGAGGGTTAACACAAGATTCGATACTGTTTAAAACTACCAATTGTGTCAAACTTTAAGTTTTCAGATAATGACCTGGGGCCGTATTCCTAAAGATTCTTAGTGCTAAGAAATGCTCCTAGTGGCCAAATTCTAAGAAAATTCTTAGAATCTTGACGTACTCTTAGAATTTCCACTAAAAGAGAAGAGTAGATCCTAGTTAGGAAAAAAAGCTATTCCTAGAGAATCCTAGCTCTTAAGGCTGCGGTCACATGCACAGCCTAAAGCCCTGTTAAAGTGTGCCTGGGCCCACTTTGCGATTAGATCCGGGCTTTAGGTGCTATGTGACCGCTGCAGCCGGGCTTGACCGTACACACAAGAATTTGCTTGTGTCCAGAAACATAAGCAAATATCTGGTTAGCTATTTTTAGCTGGGCCCTTTGTTTGCGCTGTCCCTGGCGCCAATGCTAATGCATACCTATGTCTAAAGGAATGTACAGGTTCTACGTCATGGTGCTACGCCGCTTAGGGCTACGCTATGGGTAGACTCAGAGGCACCCAGCCTCCGCCAGAGAGATGAGAGATCCAAATGCTCCAATCACGAGCCAGCTCCTCCTATAAATAGATCCGCTCAGGCCTGCACCTGCCACTTTGAACTCTGGCGGCGAGAGATCACTCGACTCTGAAGAATCGAGGAAGAAGCTTGTCCCCACGTATGGACCCGGTGTTCCACTACGCTACGCGTGACTGGCCCAAACCACTGGCGGCCGAGAGGCCCGCCCTGGGGTAAGGCCAGTACGGCACGGTCCAAGACTGATCTTGGTCCAGCGGAGTCCCGGGCCTCGAGGACGCGGTGAGGCTGGCTCTGCTCCCCACGTCCTCCATGTGGCCAGACAACAGACCGCTTCTTCCCTCCGAGCGGGATAGGATGTCGATGTCCGTCCTGGATGCGCGCTATGCCAACGCGGCTCAGAGGGTCGCGTTGGCTTGGAAACATGACCTTCCTCTCTCCGCGGGCCAGGCACTCAGCGGCGAGGATCTGACTGAGGCGAGGACAACGTCAGCAGTAGTCCAGGGGCTTCGACCAGGTCAGAGAGCGGTCTCCCAAACGATTCTCCGCTCCTCGGCCCACCCTTCTCCAGCGAGACCCCGGGGTCCGGAGCAGACCTGCGGAGACGCTCGGGAGCAACGCTTTCAACACGAGGACGGGGAGGCAGGAGCTATTTCGATAAAGAGAGAAAACCCCTATATGATTGCGTGAGTCTCCTCTGTTACTGCATGGCATGCCCTCACAGGTAGATGGCATGCCCACTCAGTGCAGTCCCACTCTGATGGCCCTGGGGACTTGCGGGCTCAGAGGAGAGACCCGCAGCAGTTGGTCCAGACCGCTGGCCCGAGTACCTTGGCCACTGGCACTTTATCCTCCCGGAGAGGAGTAAAGCGGTAAAGGTCAGGGGGGCTGATATAAGTGAAACAGTGGGGCCGGTAACCCCCTCTGTCTCACGCAACATCTTACACGGGGGCTCTCTGCCCTTCGGGCCACCCCCCCTCTCCTCTGGGAGCAGCAAGAGAGGGCAGGGCTCTCGGGATAAGTGCTCCCAGCCCTGTCCCCGCGCACAGACTTCTACCACGTCTGGGGGAGCAGAGGATGATGCGCAGGGATGTTGCCCTGCAGTTTGCACGGGGCCGCCGCCGTTCCAAGGCGTTCGAGCGG